CAGGGAGCCCGATGCAGGGCTCGATCCCAGGACCCTGGGATCATGACCTGAGCCGAAGGCAGACGCTTAACGACTGAGCCACCCAGGCGCCCCTATGTTAATTGATTTTAAATAAAATAATGAGACATAAGCTTTACTTGAGGTCACAAAACTTGCTATTACCACTAACTCCAATGAAAATTCAGGTAATTGGACTCTAAATCATTCAAATTAAAGTAGCTTAATAAAATAAATTCAAAAGCAGACAATTACAAAGTATACAACAAAACACACTTCTTTAGTTTTTTAATTTCAAATAAATTCCATGGTAAAAATTATCCTTCAAATCTGTGTTTCTTTTCTTTAAAAACCTATTGAACTTCTCAGGAAGAATTATAAACTTAAAAAAAAATCTAGACTTGGAAATATTTCAGGGCCACATTTCAAAGGAGGAGCCCAGCTTTCTGGAGACTCTAATCCCTCCATAATCTGTCCTAATCTGGAGGCCAGGATAGCCCAGAGTAGGAACTATGGATTTGTATTGGGTCACTGCAAGGAGAAGGGGTGACTGAGCCTGGCTGAAACCCGAGATGGTGGGCCCCGTCCCTTCCCTGGTGGTCAGCAGGATCAGAAAAGCATGGAAGTGAAGGCTAGGGGTCACCATGATGTCCCGGCGTCCCAGCGCCTTGCCATCCCCACACAGCACTGGCTTCTTGGACCAGTGGGAAGCCAGACCACATGTTTAGACACGGTCCATTTAAAATTCCAGAAGGAACAAATGGTGGTGTTCCTGTGTCTGATTCTCAGGTAGCCGTTCCCTGAGGCTTTTCCTAGTCGGATTTAGTCAACATTTTTATCCCTACTGAATCAGATATGTTTTACAACCTTTAAAGTCCGGCAACATTTAAGGATGTGGTTCTGAATACATTTTGAGATGGAAAACTCCCAAGGATAAGGACTATATTGTCTTTGGTGTGTTATAATTGATATCATCCCTGCAAATGAGAGATAATCAATGCCATCAAAACAATTTAGAAATGTTTACATAAAAACAGAACCTACTAGGCAGCAGCCAACAGAAAAAGGCTTTGAGTCTTTGAGGATAACTTTACAAATCCAAAGGAGTACTATTGTTAAAATACAGTTAATTCTCAGTTTTCCAGAGGAGTCTGGGAAGAGGTATTCTGTTTACTCGAATATTCTTATTAAGAGCCTATTTCTACCCACATACATAATTGTATTACCAATTTGCTTGGAATTAAATTGCTTTAACCCACTTAGCATTAAACACAGACACTTTTAAGAAGTAATTCTTAAAGCACCTCAAGATCAATAGACGTGTTAAATATCAGGGCCCTGCAGGTGCATCCGTGAATATTTTTTAAGGCTCCAGTATGGGTTAGTTATGTAATATTACTGATGAAATCTCTAACTTAAAAAAAAAATCAGTTCTTAAAAACACATGAACTAGTACTCAAGATATTTAAAATGTGACCTTTAAGATGATGTACACATTTTGAATATTCTTGGAGGTCTGCTTTTCTTAGGTACAGAGCATACGTGCGTAAGTACAGACCTACGCTCTTTTTCCTTCTGTTACAGTTTACAGAATCCAGTGGATTATATTAAGGTAAAGGTGTTTTTCAAAATCATGTGGGATATTTTGAAATTTAAAAATGTAGGTGGTACAACTTCACATGCTTTTTAAAATCACTGAGTATAATTTTCAACTTAGTACATAAATTGTATTGCTTAATGTTAGAAATTGAAAAATCATGGGATGGAATGATATGAATCAAAGACCTTTGTCTCAGCCTATAAGGAGGCTTCCATGTAGAAATGGCAAAAAAAAAAAAATCATCAGGTAAATACTCCCTCTTCCACTGAAAATGTGCCTTTAAAATGTCAACTATTGAATAAAAATTAAGAAATTCAATCATTCGTCAGGCTCTCGGTTCTATGCAATGCCAAGGTTTT